CCAGAGGAAACTACAAAACAATGAGCGACCAGGAACTCCTGTCACCAAGCTGCCCAAGAAGCTAAATGTCAGTAATGATAAATCTGCAACAAATAAGAATATAAATAGCAGTCATGGGTCTCACAAACGCAGTGCAAGTGCCAGGTCAGGGAACATAAGTGGCAAGAGCAGAAGAAGTAGAGGTGAGAGTGCTGATGTCATAACAGTTTTAGACATGGATGAAGATAGTGATTAAAAATTAAATTATTTATATGATATTTCACAATATTTGTTACCCAAGTAATATGGTATAATAATATTCTGCAGACAATGTGAGAAACATTTTAACTCTTCAAAGAACTTTGCAAAAAGTATAAAAACACTCTTGTTTAATCCCTCACAATGCTCTCTCTCAGTGGATTGTGGTAGTGAGTTTGTGCCAAATATGAAAAATACACTAAGGGTTAACTGGTTTTCAATCACTTCCTGCAAATGAAAGAGTGCTATTGGAGACCCAAAGTACGTAACTCCAGTTTTCCAATTTCTGTCAAAATACTCCTCTTACTTTTCACTCCACTTTCTCTTGGGATACTCATACCATTCACATCATCATTACCAGTCACATCCTTCTCAGACTTTCCTTTTCTGCATGTGGTTACTGGGTCCAGTTGATTGCCACAGTCGATACAAATACTGGTTTAATCCATGGCGTTTTGCTTTCTTGTCTCACTTTGTAACTAATATATATTGTGATTTATAGTGATTGTTTGCCCTACATGGTGTTTGTTTCTAGCTGGTATGTAAGAATACAGGGAACTTAAAGGTATTTAGAATGGGGGTGAGAAATAATACACATTGATGAGCTTACAGGTTGTATGCATAGTTGTATGTGAAGTCAAGAGAAATTTTTACAATTGTAATATATAATGGAAATCACACAGCAAAGTATATGCAGCAGTGACAGCTATGTTTTTTTTATCATTTTGAGTGCATTATTAAATATGCAATGCAAAGATCTTTTGCAGTTATGGGTAATGATGAGCAAAATCCATTACAATGTATGATTTTGTATGACCTATGATATCCTATGCTCTAGTTATTTTATTCCTTGTGCATTTAGTATATATGGTAATGATGATTATTTTTGTAGTTGTGGATTTTATATTTACTGTGGACCGATTTGTTTCCTGAAAAAGAAATCAAGTAATATTTACTTTACTGGTTTCTCATAAAATAAGAAATGCTTAAAGGTATTATCAGTACAACATTTTACATTTTTTTAGTTATCATACTTGCATTTAGAGTAACATTTCACTTCTTACTCAGTATATTATGTAAGATTCATTATGAAGCTTTGTATAAGTGTGTAAGAACAATATGCTTGTGTCTGCATGACATCACTGTACTGTAAGTTTGAATTTAACATGTAACATGTGGAGAGAAATGGTATATACATGTAATTAGAGGGAAATGGTATCTCTGTATAATACTGTATTTAAAATAGTATTGTGATGCATTAGTTATGTGATGTCATGCAGACACATTTCTTATTGATGAAAAATTAAAAGTACAGTATAAAGATATGTATAAAACTGTATATGATTACAATACAGGACATTTTGGTTGAGTTTTTTTATTTTTTATTACAAATGTAACAATATAGAAATATTTAAATATGGTTTGTAATATTTGTAATACAGTTTTTTAGTACTTTTTTAGATTTAAAAAAATGTGGGTCACTTTAGTGCCAAAGCAAGTGATAATGTTTTTCATTATGATACCAGATTGCTGCTCTGGATATTTAAGTTCAAAGAACTGTAGCAACCCCCCCCAAAAAAAAAAAAAAAAAAAAATTAATACCATAAACAAACAAATCTTGTGTGTGGTTGTTCTCATAGTAAAAAGATTGTAGATTACATTGAAATATTTAAACATATTGCAGAAATTTGCATAGCAACTCTGACAATCATCATAGATTGATTTAAAAGAAAAGACCCATTGAAGTATTGTAGAAATTATGTTGTTATAAGGTTATCCATTGTACTTAATGAATCAGCTATTTATTGTACTGCTAAAGGCTATTGTTGCTATTATGGCAGAACTCTATTGGAAGCCGAAGATGGTTAATGGAATGTAAAATTGGGATGAATTGAAATGACCTGTCTTAGGTTAAATATTATACTCTAAATTGATTTGATTTACTTGCATTAGTTTTAAGGTGACATTAGCGGGTATGTACCTGATATACTGGTGATTTTTATGAATACTGTTGAAAAGTAGCCAAAAAGTATCATACTATATTTTTCAGTGAGAGACGGTTTGTAATTCAAGTGATGTTCTCATTTTATAGTTGATGTGGTATGTAATTTTTATATAAGTAATCTCTTGTTGCCAAAAATAGGGATTTTACCTGTTGAAGATCTTAGAAGATTGAGTATAAGATTATACAGTTCTTCTTTGTTATTATTGTTGTTATTTTGATCAAGTTTTCAGTTTACAACAATGACAGCTATAGATTTTTTTATCATGTGTTTTGCACCTGTGAGGTATATCAAGTGTTCATTGAGAAATCCATGAATGATTTTTATATCCATGTTTTTGCTTTTTTCATGAACTTGTAATGAAAAGCTGTTTCTAGATATGCATACGTTATGCATGGTGTTATTCATTGGGAAAAATGAAGTTAGTTGTGATATTATATAAAATAAGTTAATGTGGTAAATCTCTGCTTTTAGTCCTTTGTCATTTGTACTTTTTAAAAAGATAAGTTAATGTGTTTAATCTCAGTGTTTAGTCCATTGTCATTTGTACTCTAGCATTTTTATAGAATATTATAAAATATTGTGCTGTGTCCCTGGAGTATGTAAGTGTAGGTGTGGTAATAATTTATTAAAGGGGAAATTTTCTTTTAATTCAAGTAACTTATAAAAATGGCACTCCCATTATATGAAATTTTACTTTTTTTTATTTATAAGTCATTGTATTTAGATCTTATGTTAATTATCTTGTCTTATAGTTATTTTTATTGCCTATGTTCCATATGAATCTGGTTTATTATTATGACAGTAGAAGAATCAACAATGCACAAACTTGATTTATCAAAAATAAGACCAGCTTTGATTATGATTAATATTACTATTGTTATTATCATAGTAATTTTTTTTATTACTATATAGTAGTGGCATTGTTATTGTTATAGTTACTGCTATTATCATTATTATTATTACTTTTACTTTTATTATTATTATGATTACCATTACTAATTATAATTATTATCACTTGTGTGCCATGTGGCTTAGTTGCAATTAAAAAAAATTGTCATATAAATTTTCTCAGGTCACATTATGCAAAATAAATTCTAGTACTAAATTTTGACTCTCAAAAGTTTTATAAACCCTTGATGTTTATTTCATTCTTATGATGAATAGATATAATAAGTCTATTTGCCATAATGTGCAGCTAATTTAATTATGGATCTCACTTTTTAAAAATCTGAAATGTCAGTTTATACCAGTTACTGAACTTGTCTTCATAAGTTATTTTTCATTGTTCTGTATCTTTGAATTATATGCTCATCAAGATTATTATAGATTTATAAAAAGTTAATGTGCTAGACATCAAAGGTCATATAGTACTATGGTAAAGTATTGTGGCTAAAAGGGTAAAATGAGTTAACAATTAAGACAAAATGTGTTAAATGTCAAAGGTTGTAGAGTACTATAGGATAGTATGGTAGTGAAAGAGGTAAAGTAGAGAAGCAAATGGAGTAAGGCAGGGATTAGTAAAGGAGGAAAGCGGGTTAAGGGTGAAGGGTGATTAGATCAAATGGATAGTAACTATATGTGTGGGGAAGGAAAAGGAACATTGTATGAAGAACACTGCAAAAGAGCAATTGATACTGTTGTGACAAAGGAGTCATGTGAGCATCCAGGTGGGAGTGGTGAGGATAATGGGGTGTGTTGAGAGAGAGTAGGAGGAAGGGGATAGGGGGAACTTGAGGAGGCAGATGGATATCAGCAACTAATTTGAATGTAGTGGGAATGGAGTAGAGAGTTTGAAGGGTTGATGAGAGAGTGGAGCATTCTCTTATGTCATGTTTAGAAAGTTGGATGTCCTCAAGAGCTTCAAGGAGGGGCATTGGGTGAAGAAGTCTTAGTTTTCTTATGATGAGAAGAGGAGACAGACGTCGGAGAAGCAGAGGAAGAGATGGGTGTAGAAGAGAATGTGGTAGGAGAATATGGGCTGGAACATTTAGATTGTCTGGTGCAACAGGTAAAGTTAGAAGTAGAGGTAGGCATCAGGGAAGTGGTAGAGATTTGAGTATCTGGATTTAGACGAAAAAAAAAAAATTGACTCGGGGAGTGAAGGCATAGAGGTAGGATGATAAGGGGTAGGAGGAAGAGATACTGGAGGAGATGCCAAGATATCTTGTAAAAAAGGGAGAGGAGCAGAGTGAAGGACAGGATAGAGTGAGGCTTAGTTTTAATATGAGAACTCTTACTTTAGATTTGAGCTTGTAGGCAGGACAGCTCTTATAAAATACATTATATGAGCCAACACAGTTTGAATGGTCATGGTTGAGTACATGGAGGGAGCAGGCTGTGGAGTAGTGTGGGCCACACCAATATTTTTGACATTTACAGGGAAGGCTTTATTGATTATATGATTGGACAGGACAGGACACTCCACCAATATAAGCTTTATCAAGGGAGGTCATGACTAAAGAAGCTAATCTTGGTGATATTGGTGTAGGACTTACAGTGGCCTTTGTGAGGAATAGTTTAGCACTGTACTGCTACTGCATCAGTCAATAAGGCAGGCAAGTGTGTTATTTTTATAGTCTGAACAAGCCTTGTCGTAGACAGGGTAATCAGCTGGAGAGATGGAAACAGATCCAGTACAAGTATTAACCCAAAATCTGGAAAGTGTTATGTTTATTGTAAGAGGTAACAGGTGAGACAGTTAGTACTCATAATTGGCTCATTGATGACAGTACATGTGGAGCCATCTATATGTAAAAACAATTAATAAATTAAACTCACAGTGGGCATGGCATGTGCCTACATGCCATTCCCGGGAGCTTGGGATTAAGGGAAGAGTGAGGCAGGGCAAGAATAAGTTTGCCAGTGTGGTCAGTTAGTTTGGATAATGCACAAGCTTAGAACTCCAATGTAACTATTACAAGGCGAAATATCTGCGAAAGGAAACTTTGCCCACTTGTTTTTGGAGATATTGTTGGAAGAGGAAGATATTGTCAGCAAAAGGGGCTGTAGGGGGAATCACAAATAATGGATCCCACTCGGCTGAGCTAAACAGAGTACTCAGAAGGTTTGTAGAGGTGAAAGGAGTTGAAGGACAAGGCTGGGAGGAAGAGAGAGTGGGTGTGAAGTGAGATAGTACTGTGGGGAAGAGGACAATAAGGATGAATAGTAGTAAAGGAGGGTGCAGACAATGAAGAAGACTATTCAGGAGCAGAAGATCGAGTGAAGAATAATGATAGAGAGGAGGGGGTGTATTCTGGAGAATGGATAATGATGTAGGTGGATGATTACGAATGGATCAGAGTTGACAGCAAGCTTCAAGCAGGGGTAGTAGAAGTAGTGGTCCAAGCCATGATCAAAGGAGAGGCATGGGTTGGGAAACCAGAAAAGTCAAATTTAAATAAGTTGAAGGGGCAAGCCTTGCAGCCCTTAATAAAGGTACGAAATCTTAATTATTGGCCATGATGAGCCTGAAATATATGGGAAATTTAGATGGCCTACCCCTCAGGGTCCCTCTGAGGATTAAGGGCTAAGCAATTAATCAAGGAAATACGGAGTCCATGGTTCCCTGAGGCCATTCAGCTCTGGTACAAAGCCAGGCTTTCATCCTTTCAGCATGGCTCTTGTACCTTAAGAAGTGGGTATAGAAGGGATTGAAGAAGAGAAGGGGAAGAAGACTACGTAAAATTAGTTGATATAAGTACTTAAGCCCAAGATGGGGATTCCCAATATTGGGCCTCAGTCTTCTTATGCTAAGCCTCCCCCTCCTCCCAATAACAATGGCAGCAAAGGATTGGGTTGGAGATTAATGTAAAGAGGAAAATAGAACTACTTTTCTGGAATATTATGATTTTACATTGAAATTATCCATATTCTACATAAATACATAATCATTTAACAAGGGCTGCAACATGGACTGGATCCAGTGATCAGCCTACTCCAACAGCAGTTGGAGATCTGCTGAGTTGCAACTTGTTTACCTGTTCTCTCTGTCTGTCTCTGTCTCTCTTTTCTCTCTCACGCATCACACGTCACACACACACACTTATTCATTCCTTCACTTAATCTCACTCACTCACTCACACTTGATCAGCCTTCATATTTTATTTGCTCGTCTTTATTTACACTACTATACTAACCTACAGCACTCTACTTTTGATATCTTTGTCATAACCATTAGCTGAGTTTTACCCTTTCTGCCACAGTATTTTATCATAGTGTCATATGACCTTTCCTTACCTGGGGGTTTCGCTCCCAAGCTTCATCCTATCACTATATTTTGAATAAACTGCTAATGACTTTAAATATTGGCACTGCAGAAATTTTTCAATAAATAATAATAAATCAACTCAGGATTATCTGGCCCACAAATTGTATTTGAAGGTGGAATGTCTCTCCCTGGGGTAAATGAGTTTGACTGCCCTGGTCTACAGAGTAATTGAAATGATGGAATTTACACTATGAAAGCATTAACTTATGAATATATATTGTACATAAATAAGTTACTGGTTTATACCCTCATCAACTTATAAAGTTGAATGATTCTATTTCCTAGTACAGCTATGATTTGAATAACCTTTAATGACTGATACATTTTTCCGATGTGCTTTTATTTGGACAAAGATATATATATATATATATATATATATATATATATATATATATATATATATATATATATATATATATATATAAAATATCCTACTTCTAAGATCTAGTTTTCATTTGCCCCTTATTTCTAAGTATAGTTAAAGGAATAACACTATTTTTTTACTTGAAATGGTTAGTCTACCTCTGCAAGTGAATATATTCATGGCTACATCCATTACATAAACACTAGTTTATTTGTAGAGAAGGATGATTAATAAAACTCATTCCTAGTAGTTAAAATAATATTTAATAACCATTCATATACTTTAAATTGTCAATATATATAACAATGTTAAATAAATAAACAATATCAAAACTGAACTCCTGTTGCAGAAATTACAAAGACTATTTTACAATAACTATCAGGGTATCTTAATGCCACCAATTTTAACTATAAAATCCATTATATACATCTGGATCTTAATTTCCACAGGGTTTTCTGTTTCATGAAAACCTGGTACACCAACCTGTTGTAATGTTGACTGTTGCTCTGTTACCTGGAAAGATAAAAAGGATTTAATGTTTACAGTTTTGCTTGCTCAACATCTTAGGTAATAAGCAATCAGTTAGAAGAGAACAAGAGAAGGATAAGGAATCCCATATACCTATAATTTTGGACCATATATTTTATTTGAATTCATATGATATGCTTTTAGGTTGAAAAAAAAAGATGATAAGTACAAAGTCACCAATTATTTAAGTGTTTCACATCAACCTTTTCCATTAGTTTCAGGAAAAATTCTGACATCTTGTATTGCTGTTAGTAATGCCAATATTATAATAATTAAAATGTCTATAATAAAGATAACAGCATCAATACTGACAGAATTAGAAAAAAAATCCCAAAACTTAAGGGAAGAAGAAATCATGGAAGGTCACATGATCACATAAGATCTGGATGACCTGACTATCACACTAAAAAAACTTGGCTTGCGGGGCAGGTGACGTGAACTTGCAGTCATGATAATTTCGCCTGAAAGCCAGGATGACAGGAATGATTTGCCATGAGTGCACAAACCTCTTGGAGGGTGATTAGACTCAGTGGGAATTTAGGAAGGGACTTTTGCTTTAGTTCCATCAATCCATGGCTGGAAGAGCATTGGCTCCAGACAGGACACCACTTCCATGCTCTAGATCCTATTCCTGCCCACCATGTCTGTCAGCACAGTCTATCTTAAATGTTTAACCCCTTGGACCCAGATGATGTTGCGGTCAAGTTGAGGAAAAACTTGGGCAGCTGCCCGGGTGACATGAATATGCTGTCAACCGGACAAATGGACTGCAGCCCGGGGTGACGCGAACAAAAAGTTAAGAGCGAAGGCCAGGGTGACAGAATCGACTCGCCATGAGTCCACAAACCTCTTGGAGTGTGATTTGACTCATTTGGCACTTAGAAAGGGGCTTTAGCATTATTCCCAACGATAAACGAATGTGGAATGTAACATGCATAAGCAGTGACTGGAAGAGCGTCAGTTCCAGGGAGGACGCCATTTCCATGCTGTGCACTGTACTCCTGGCCGCTGACTGGTGGCGCTGGTTGTATTAAGTAAAATTGAAAATTACAAAAAAATTAGATATATGACACAAATAACCAAATGTTCCATATATTTTTTTTCTTGCACTAAGCTATTTACTACATAGAGAGATGACATGGAGTCTGTGCAAGGAAAATAAGTAATTATCACCTGGATAAAGCAAATCAAAAGACTAATATGGACATTGGAAAATGGCATTAAAGCTAAATAAGTTTACACAAAACAACTTTTCAAAGGGGAGGCACAGAGTCCTGTCACAACTCCTAGGTGTTCGTGCACTCTTACCCTACCCGCCACACGCCCGGGATGTTGCCTACTCATGTAACCCATTGCCCAGGCCCCCTTCTAAGCTCCATGACTTCCGTCATGTAACTGGATCCAAGGAGTTAATGTTTAATGTTTGAAATAAATAAATGTGCTAGACATCAAAGGTTATATAGCACTATGGTAACATATTGTGTCAGAGAGGGTAAAGAAGAGTTAAAGATTACAATAAAATGTGTTAAATGCCAAGGATTAGAGAGCATTATTGGATAATATGGTAGTGAAAAGGCAAAAAAGGGGAATAAGTGAACTAAAGCAGAGATTGGTTGAAAGGGAAGGGTTAAGTGGTTGGGCAGTTGAGTGAATTATAGTGTATCTGTCACTGGGGAGGGTATAGGAAAAATGTTCAAGGAAAAATAAGAGAGGGATGTTGGAAAAGTAGGAGAAGAATCTGGGGAGAAGGGAAGGTGTTGAATGTCAAAGATTAAAGGGTGTTATAGGAAAGTATGGTAACGAAAAGGGAAAAGCGGCAAGTAAATGAAGTAGAGCAAGGATTGGTAAAATGTTAAAGGTTAAGTGGGTAGAGCAATTGAGTGAATTGCCTTGTATCTGTGACTGGGGAAATAATAGGGACATTGTTCAAAGAAAACAGAGGTGGCTGTTGGAGGAGTTGGGGTAGAAGAATTCAGGGGATGAGAAATGGGGACTGGGGAAGGTGGTGAAGTATCAGGAAGAGTGTCTGGAGGGGAGGGGTCTGTAGAAGGACACTGTTGTGATAGAGAAGACTCATATGAGTATTAAAGAGGGAGTGGTAGAGAGGGTGGGGTATGTTGAGAGGATGTAGAAAGAGGGCTGGAGGGAACTTGAGGAGGAGGAGGATGTATATCTGCAAATACTTTAAATGTAGGAGTAGGAACAGAGGGATTGGGGGTTGGGTGAGGGAGTGGAGTGTTCCCTTGGGTCATCTTTTGAAGGTTTTGGATGTCTTCATGGGTTTCTGGAGGGGAGTTGAGTGACTGAGAAACAAAGGTTCTCTTAAGAGGAGGAGAAAAGGAGACAGATATCTGAGGATCAGAAGAAGAGAAAGGTATAGGAAAGGATGTAGTAGGAGAGGGTGGAGTGGAGCGTTTAGGTTGCCTGGTACGACAAATAAAGTGAGGAGGAGGGGTAGGTATCAAGGAAATGGTAGAGATTGGAGTATCTAGATTCAGACTGGTACACAAATTTGATTGGGGGATAGGGTGAGTAGACATAGGGTGGTTTAGGGTATAGGGGAGAGATAATGGGGGAGATGCAGAAATATCTTGTGAAGATGGGCAGGGAGCAGAGCAAAGGGCTGTTTTGGAATAACTTGAGACAAAAACCTTGTCATCGTGCTTCTTGTCTGGCCTCACATAGAGTGAGGCTAGACTGAGGATTGCTACCTCATATTCAAACTTATATGCAGGGCAGCTCTTATAAAATACATTATGAGTCTCCACAACTGGCACATGTATGTGACTGAGCAGGGCAATTTTGACAGTCATGACCAGGTTGGGCACATAGAGGGCAGCGGGCTGTGGAGCAATAGTGATGGCAGGGTGGCCAAAGAGCCAACATTTCTGACATTGACAAGGAAGGGTTTGATATGGTCGGAGATGGTAGGACAATCCACCAATATAAACTTCATGGGGGAAGTCATGTCTACGGAAGCTAATTTTGGCAATACTGATGTGGGACTTACACTGGCGTCTAGGAGTAATAGTGTAACACTGTACTGCCACTACATCATATTCAGCAAGGCAGGTAAGTATGTCTTTTTCACAGTCTGACAGTCCTTGTTGTAGATAGGAGAAGCATTTGGGGGGATAGAAACAGTTCCAGTAAAAGTATTAAGAGAAGGGTGAGGTTTGGCAGGAAAGGGTTTGCCATTAAGGTCAGTTAGGGTAGATAGTGCACGAGCTTGGGATTCAGATGTAACTGTGACAAGGCGTGAACCATCAGAGCAACTGCGAAAGGTAACCTTGCCTACTTGTTTCTGGAGGCACTGTTGAAAGAGAAGGGTATTCTCAGAACTTGGCTGGGCCAAGGAAAGTTTGCAAAAGGTAAAGGTAGTAGAAGGATGAGAGCAAGAGGAAGATGGGGTGGGATCCAAGGAGACCATTATACACCTTGGAAATGGTTTTTCAATAGTTGTATGGTAGATGGAAAGGTAGTTTAGAGGAACTCTACATTCCATTGAAGCAACAGTGTGTGGTGGTGATCCTATGGAGGGGATAAACCTTTAATGTTTTACAAGGTACTATAAACACTCTGTCTTAAGGACATAAGTGTGATAATCTAAAGGTCTTGTAAACTGGGGCACTAATGTGGTCTATGCCATCGCAGATCAATACCAACCGTCATCAATCATGGACAATCAAGTGGACTAAGTTTCGGTGGATTGATTAATCATTAAAACATCTGATGTGTATGAAATGGCTTTGACAAGGGTCTGCACCTCTTTGTATCTCCAAGGGCAGACATTGTACTTGTAAGATGAGGAAAACACTGTATAAATAAGTACAACTTAAATATATAAAATTATCTGAAAGATGGAATAATGCCATATCACACTGATATCATGAATATATAACCTCTCCGATTGGGATTCAAATCCCCAACCACCATTGCAAGGAACTTGCAAGACGGTCACTCTAACCACTGATACACGACCCACTAAAAGAAGTGTGCAAATAGGAGCTATCTAGCATCCATGGGCATTACCTACCTACTCATACATGAGTAAGGATAGTGAAGTTTTAAACACGCTTCCCATGGGCACTCGGTATATACAGAGAGCAGTTCAAATCCCAAATAAGAAATCCTGATATCAATGCGGTATGGCATTATTCCATAGGTAATGCCTATGGATGCTAGATAGCTCCTATTTGCACACTATTTTTAGTGGGTCATGTATCAGTGGTTAGAGTGACCGTCTTGCAAATTCCTTGCAATGGCGGTGGGAGTTATAAATTCATAAAATTATTTCTTGTGTTTATAATAACCCAATTGAAATAACATTAATATAGGTTGAACTTTATAAGTGCAGTGAGGCATAAAACTGGGTGTTTTATTCTTATTACAACACTGAGTCCACTCGGCAATGACTAGAATATAAATCTGTTATCTTGTACTTATACATGAATATAGAAAGTATATGTTCAATTCCTTATCATCTCTACTCAAGGGTGTTAAGAGTGGTAAGAAGTAAGAAAGAAGTAATATACCTTGCAATTGACTCCTTGGTTACTAATTACTTGAGCCATCTATATATAAACACAAAGAATGTATACCATGCCATCCTCCCACAAAGGGTTAATAATGCAGAAATTTTAGTTGGTGATATTGCATGTGAATATAAATATTATTGCTTATATGCATAAGATTAGTAATTTAAGTTACTAGACTTAAGCGCTTTAGCAATAAACTACTGTTGTTATGAATATCTTCATAAAAATATAATTGCAAATGAGTAAATAAAAGGGGAAAAATGATCAAGCATCTCAATCTAAACTATTTTCTATTTTTGAAAGACAATGTAAGATGAATGCCCTTTGCATCTGCAGCCACACTTATTAATAGGAAACAACTGAAAAAGTTCCTTTTTTATGATAGGATAATCCCCTTTTTTTAATGTCTGTAACATTTGCCAAAACTTAATTCTTAGTTAAGCTACATATGAGACACTTATGTATCCTCTAATATATCTAATTCTATAAACTATATATTTCTCTTTCTTCAAGCAATCACAATATGCCACTGCCTAGTAAACAATACCAAACCTAACCCATCTCTTTGCACCTACTGTGAGACAGCAACCAGCTTTACCACTTTGGTAAGACTCTTCCATGTAATACTATACTATCTACATATACCAGTGGGTCAGCTGCCAAAAAATTAGTAGATTTCTCTCAACAAACAAATTCTTGTAGTTTCAACAAATGTAGTACTCTCATTACAAATTTCATCAAACGTTTTGCAACTCATGAATCCCTCTATCTTGCCCATTATACTTGGTTGTTTTGACCTAATCTGCCCAACCTGACCTTGACATCATCTTAATCATCTTGATGATGACGATGATGGAGGAGAAAAAAAAAAAAAAAAAAAAAAAAAAGGGATGCCTTGCCATGAAAATAATTCTGAGAGCACAAGGCACTTAGAGATTGATTCAGCAGGCTTTAAGGAAGCGGCTCATTTGCAAGCTCCTGCAGGATTTCCACCAGCCCACGAGGGGGTGAACTGTACCAGCTGTATTCCTGTCTACAGGGAGGAGTTTGTCCACAGGCAGAATCAAATACCTGCCCACCATTAATAGCAGCATAAGATGAGTTAGAGCAAATTGAATAATATAAAAATATAAAAAGCAACCTAAATAATACAATGTAACTTATTGTCATTGCTATTGCACAAAGTGTAAACTACCTGGAGAGATGATATGGTGTCTGCACAATTAAAGTCTATTATCATCTTGATACAACATAACAAAAGACAAATATAGACCTTGGAGAATGGCAAGTCAAGCAATTCTTTATACTTCACATGAATGTTCATGTGGGATGGATCTACAAATTAGCTACACAGCCGGGAGAGTAACCTCTCAACAAAGCCTAATGCCCAGATTTGGTCCATGAGCGCCTACATCTAACATGCTAACTTTCTCACCATTTTTGAGGTTTTATGTACTCATCTTACAAAATACAACTCAGAAAAAACAAAATTATTGTAAGTTTCTCTAGCCAGTTAGTCTAAACATTATTATCTTATATACATCCCATAAAATCATACACAAAAACAAGAAATGACACCATAGTATGTAGTCATTTCTTGCTTATTCTTTGTATTCTTGTATGTTTAGTATATAGAACTTATTAAAACTAATCTAGTACAAAACAGGACGTCACAAACCTACCTTCTGATCCAACAACTGAAGAATCCGCACATGCATGGTGGATATCTCTTGTGCATGACGGGCATCTAGTTGTGTTATCTGTTCCTGGTGTAACCTTGGCAGGCGAGAGGCGACGTGGGTCTTTCCCTGGCACTCTGCTGCTTGGATTTCATCCTTCTGGGATTTTATCAGAGCTTCTCGATCAGCTGGAAATTAGTTTTCATGAAAGAATGTATAAAGATTACTGCGAGATACTTCATGTTGAAGTATGCAAGTTAAATATATATCTTCATCTGATGGAAACGATTAAATGTATTTCAACACAAAAATTACCAAATTCATTCAGTAAAAAAAAAAAGTAAAAAATGTAAAAAGTAAAAGCCCCCCCCCCCCAAAATACAATTACATCAACAGAAATGACAATAAAAATAATACCAATACCAATACCAATAAAAATAACTATAATAAGAATAACAATATTGTAATAATAATCATAATAATAACAACAAAATATTGATAATAAAAAAATAAAAAATCTTTGTAAAAACAGTAGTGATCTTGAAAATACTACTACTAATAAAAATAATAATAGCAACAACAACAATGATAATGATAATGATAACACTAGTAAAAACAGTGATGATTACAATTCAATTTACACTCTATTAACAAAAAGTTTACCTCAGCTACAGCCTTGAAACTCTCTTCTTCCTTATTTTAATAATTATCTAATTCTTATTTCATATGTCTTTTCTTTTAATCAGCTGCAGTACATTGTGAAGGCAAATCTGGTTCGATTTTATTTGTTCTTTATTTATCAATTTATTTTCTTTATTCTTAAAAAAGGCGGGGGGGACAGCAGCAGCCTCTCCTGTGTGATACCTCAAAGACCTGCTTCATTACAGCAATATTCAGAGGGATAGTTTAATGGAAAAGAGATATTAAATAAGAGAAATACCATCAGCTTTTTGTAATACCTTAATCTAGTAAAATCACATTTTGTCTTCGGCGATAAAAATTTTTGAAACCAACCCCCCACCCCACCCCAAACAGAGGAAAAGCTCTGTAATTCTTGGGGAGCTCTTTTGATAGCTGAAAAAGTTCTAATATGTAAATCAATCTCAAATATAATTGTTTCTGTTTTATACCAACGAAAACACAAGAAAGAAAAAAGAAAAAAAAAAAAAAAAAAACTGTGCACATCTTTATTTACTCACTCTTGTGTTTGTGCATCAGCTGAGTGCGTTGCTGGTGTAAACTTTTCTCTGTCATATGCTGAAGTTCTGCAAGTTCTCTTACTATCTCGAAAACTGTGTTGTCAAGTAATACGTGGGCCAAAGATGAGAGTAAATCATATGGTAGACGTTGTTGGTACTTACTGAAATTAAATAATTTATCATTATTGATTCTGTTATCTAGATTACTATTACAATTATCATTGTTATCATTACCATTATTGTTATTATTAAAAACACATTTATTATCAATATTTTTCATTAATCATTTAATGTCAATAATGATGTTAATGATCACCAAAAAATATAAAACATTCATAATAATGATGATGGTAAGGATGATGATAATGATGATGATGATAATGATACTCCTAGTACTACTGCTGCTAATAATAATAACAATATTAATATATTAGTAATAATAACAATAATAACAATATAATAATAATATTATATATAATAATAATAATAATAATAACAATAAAAATAACTAATAATAACAATAATTATAATAGTAATAATTATAACGATAACAATAATGATAAAAATAACAACAATAACATTAAGAATAAAAACAATGAACAAAAATAAAAAGAATAAAAACACAATAATAATAGCAAGAATGATAATAATTATGATGATAATCATAATGAAAATGATAATAATGATACTAATAACAATAATAAAAATATCAATATTAACAATAATAACAATAATAATAACAAAAATAAAGTAATAAAAATAACAATAGTAATAAAAAAAAAAGATAACAATTCCAATAAAATAGAAATGAAAAACAATAACAATCATTATAATAAAAATAATAACAATAATGAAAATAATAATAAAAACACTAAAAATTATAACAGTAATAATAATAACAGTAACAATGATAATAACAATGATTATGATAATGGTATAAACAATGATAAAAATAATAACAATCCAAGCAACAATAATAATAATAATAATAATAATAATAATTAATACTAATAAATAATAATAATAATAATAATAGATAATAACAACAACAGTAATAGCAATAACAGAAAGTAATATTAATAATAACATTATCAATAATAATTACTATATTAATATTAACAATAACAAAATATTAATAATAATAAATAATAATAATAATAAAAATAATAATTAATAATAATTACAATAATAATGATTTAATAAAAATTAATGATAATAAAATAATAATAGAAATAAAATAATAAAAAACAATAGTAATAAAATAAGATTCAATTAACAATAATAACATTAAAAAATAACATATAAAAATAAACAATATAATAATAATGATAACAATAAATAAAATTAATAAATAAATAATAATAACATGATAATTAACAAATAAAAAAAAATAACAATATAAATAATAATAATAATAATAATAAATAATAAATAATATAATAATAATATAATTAATCAATAATAAAAAACAATAATAATAATAATAACAATAATAATAATAATTATATAATTAATAATAATAATAATATAATAATATAATAACAAAATAAGTAATAATAATATAATATATATTAATAATAATAATAATAATACTAATACTAACAACCTTATAAATAAATAATAATTAATAAATAACAAAATAAGCATATTCATAATATTATCATATATTATAATATAATAATTTATCATTATCATTACATTCAATATATAATAATTTACTATAATATTTATAATAATGCTATATGTTAGTAAAGTACTAATGTAATCATCTTTGAAATAACTACCCAACATTTCAGAATAATAATATACTATATATATAAATTATATATAATATTATGGATTATATATAGCATATACTATATATCATAATAAATTATATAATATACATATATACAGCATATCATCATTATAATAATACATCTATATACATAACTATAACTATAAACTATAGAATATATAATTAGAATAACATATACAAATAAATATATAATTTATTAAAATATATATCATTAATTATACTATATAATTATGTAAATATATCTATATATTTATATGTTTATATATATATATATATAACATATATCATATATATATATATAATATTACTTACATATTAATATAATATTATATTATATATATATATATATATATATATAATATATATGTATATATTAATATAATATATATATATATATGTATATATGTATATATATATATATATATATATATATATATTATATATATATATATATATATATTATATATATATATATATATTATATATATGTATATATATATATATTATATATATATATATATATATATATATATATATATATATATATGTATATATATATGTATATTATATATGTATATATATATATATGTATATATATATGTATAATTATATAGATTATATATATCTATATCTATATCTAAATCCATTTATATACACATCACATACACACACACATACACACGGATCACATATATATATATACATATATATATATATATATATATATATATATATATGAATATATGTATATCTATCTATATCTATCTATCTATCTATCTATCTAATCTATCATATCTATCTATATATGTATATATATATATATATATATATATATATATATATATATATATATATATATATATATATATATATATATATATATA